GCACAACTGACTGCGTGAGTGGGAGTCCACTCAGAACTGAGCCCGCAGCAGGTCTCAGGCCATGAACCACACGCAAGGAGACCGCTGGCCTTCCACCGAGCAGCTGGGGGATTTGAACCAAACACCTATGGAGTGCAGCTTCTTACGACTAGGCCACAGAGCTCCCTAATGGCTTCAGATGCCCCAGTGGGACTCCCTAACAGCACACGGTGAGCCTGCTCCCAGCGGTGGCGTGAGGGTGAGGGGCTTGTGCCAAAGGGGACCACTTGGGACTAAGTGCACGTGTGTACACACACACTCTCTCCACCCCACCCCACCCCTCGCCATCCGGTGGGGACCTAAGACGAGTGAGCTCAAGCTGGGAGAAATGTTGGGACACGGGGACCAGGTGGCCAGGAGAACACGTGGACTTGAGGCCATGCACAGCACACGTGGCACGCCTCCGTCCTCCATCCCTCCCGAGATGGTGCTCTGTCAAGAGGAGGGTGTGTGTCAGCCTCCCACAGGGCAAGCCTGTCAGAGCCACCCTTCCAGCAGCAGGGGGCACGTCACGTGCGTGCCACATTCTGGTGGTGCCCCCCAAGGCTTCCACCTTCCAACACGACAGCACGTGCAGTCAACGCCGAGGCAGTGTCAGGCTAACTTTTCATCCGCATGGGGGACCCTGCGTTCCCAGCCAGCTCTGCTGTGACACTGGCTTTACTGCGGGGGTCTGCAAGCCCACTATGTGTACTCCAGAACAGAGAAGACACAGATTGCTTGGCTGGAAACACCAATGGCAGCAACCTGCCCAGTGCAGACCAGTGCGAAATGAGCAAGCCCAGAACCATCCACACGCGGTAACTACGGGAGACGCAGCTGCTGGGCTGAGAGGAAACTGTTTATACCGCATGAAAAGCAGCTCTGAAAGCCTAGACCCTGCTGGGCTAGTACAGAGGCCTCCGGGCAGCAAGCTTCCCCTCCACGCTGTCGGGGATGAGGTGTGAGGACCCACCTCGATGCCACTCTGCCCTCAGCTGTCGGGGGTGAGGTGAGGGGGGACCCACCTCGATGCCGCTCTGCCCTCAGCTGTCGGGGATGAAGTGAGGGGGGACCCACCTCGAAGCCGCTCTGCCCTCGGCTGTCGGGGGTGAGGTGTGAGGACCCACCTCGATGCCGCTCTGCCGCGCCAGCTTCACAGCCGTGTTGTAGTAGCCGCAGCGCAGCAGGTGCTCCACCATCATGCGGTCCATGCGCTTCTTCTTCCACACGTTGGCGGCCGCCGGCTGGTCACTGCTGTGCTCCTTGAGGTGCTCGATCCGGCGCTTGCACAGCTTGGCGCTCTCGTCCTCGGCCTGGATGGACTCCACCGCCTGAGACATGCAGAGAAAGGACACACTGAGGACAGGGAGCCACAGGCAGCCCAGGCTGAGCAGAGCCTGCGGGTCTCAGGCCACTGTCTGCCCTGCTCGGGCACGGCCACATGCAGAGGAGCCAAGCAAGATGTCCAGCTAAGGCCACTCTCGTTTTGCAGATGCTCCTGGACGTTGACAGACGTGGGGCCAGGGAGGGGGGCGGGCACAGAGCATCAGATGGTCCCGGCGAGTGCGGTGTCTGCAGGGCGCTGCCGAGGGCACGCTCAGGTGCTGGAGGCAGAGCTTCAGCTCACAGGGGACCCGCTGAAGTCCAGGCGTGCACCTCTGTGGGGGCGGCCGGCGGCCTCACTGGGAGGGGCTTCTGCAGAAGGGCTGGCCTCGGCGCCCAGCACCCCACGGCCCAGCATGTGCCCTGTAGAATTCCATCTCTGGGGAAGGACGATGGCTTCCTACACTTACCTTCCACGTCTTAACTCTGCTCACCTGGAACCTGCACTGGGGCACCTGAGGGTCTGCTCTGACTGATGGTACTGGACTTCTCCACAAACGGAAAGAATTTTCTTTGTGATGTAAGATGCTACCATTAGGAGAGCCCGGCGGTGGGGGTGTGTGTGTGGGGGGTGCGCATGTGCAATCCCTTTGTAAATCTTAGCTTATCCCAAAATTTAAAAAAAGATTTTTTTTAAACCCCCACTCCACTGCCACTTGGACTCCCAGTGACCCCTGAGGGCAGAGCAGAAGCACCCCTGTTGCTCGAAAGGCTGCAAGCTTTACAGGAGCGGACTGCCCCATCTTTGTCTGGCAGAGCAGCTGGTGGGTTCAAATCACCAGCCTGCTAGCTAGTAACTAGTTAGGATTAACCACTGCATTGCCAGATCTCCTAAAACAGCACAACTAAAGAGAAAGAGAGAAGATCACGACGAGATGGATGGACGCGTGGGTCGGAGACGGTGCAGATGGCACAGGACAGGGCAGCGTGAGGATCTGCTGCTCACAGGGTCGCCAGGAGTTGTGGGCGACTCAACAGCTCGGAACAACAACACAGAAAAAAGTGAACTACTCTTATTTACTAATCGGTGTGGTATCAAAACCCCTAAAACTGGCTTTTCTAGCCACTGCATTAGCCCCTGTTGGCGGGCAGCATGGTCTCCAGCTACTTAACTGTGGACACCGTCTTGCAGATCAACAGCTGTGGGACCAAGAGTAAGATCGTGTTTCCCACGCGATGGGAGAACGTGGTGGTGGGGGGGAGAAGGGTGCAGAGACTGTGGCGAGGTGTGATGGGAGGAGCCCAGGAAGCCGCAGTTGGAGGTTTTGCTTACTGAATGGATGACCGAAGGAAAAGCTGACTTGTAACGGCTCTGAGATAAAGTGTGCTGGATGACTGAGGAAGCCAGAGGCTTCTCACATGTGTGTTGCTGAACTCCTGGACCGAGGAACTATGCCCTATTAACTTGGCCTAGGACTGCTGGACTAAACCTGGAGCATTACGTGGTATTCTTTGCCTTCCCCACCCCCCAACCTACTTCCCTAATGAATGCCACAACGTGAGTAAAGTTTGTAAGTCTTGCAATAAACACGGGACCCAATGACTGGTAGAAAAAGGTGCAGGAGCATGGAGAGGCTGCATGTGTGACATGAAGCTACTTGTATGATACTATGGATATGACTGATGGGGACAGCTCCCCTTTATGAAGCGAGCAGAAGTCAGACTCGGTCATCCTCGTGTTGTAGCTGCTGTTCCTAACACAGTGTAAGTCTGACGTGATGTTGTCCTGTGTATTTACAGTAGAACTTGAGAATGAAGTCAACTGATACTTGGAGGCCTCTCTTTGAGAAATGGTTTCAATTATTGTACCTCATGGAGTGGCTGACACTCCTCCGGTTTTCCAGGGCTATGTGAAATCACTTCAGGAAGCTATCAATTTTCATTTTAAAAAATACCAGTGTAACGTTTCTAAGACGCTCTCACCTCTGTGGGTGTCTGCGGCAGCGTCGCTTTCACCCCTGTGATGTGAAGAAGTGTATCTCCTCCCTGGCCTTCTTCATCGCTGCTGCTGCAATCTATGCCTCTCTCCTCCCATGGCCCTCACGTCTGTTGTTCTTGTTGTTATGTGCCGTCGAGTCGTTTGTGACTCATAGCGACCCTAAACCCTGTACAACAGCTCTAAACCCTGCTCTATCCTGTGCCAATCGCACTGCCTGACACACCCATCCCGATTACCCCAGTCACTGAATCAATCCACCTCATAGAGGGTCTTCCCCTCCTGCGCTGTCCCTCTACCCTACCAAGCTTGATGTCCCTCTCCAAGGAC